GTTGATAATTTACAACCGAGTCTACTTAAAGGTTTAGTAAACTTAGGTTCGATCAACAAACACATACGCCTCACACGTATTGCACCGTGAGACCCTGTGCTAGATGTGGTGACACAAAGATAATGAAGCATGACCCTGCCGTCAAGGACTAGTGGTCGATAAATGTATCCAACTGAACTGGACAGAAGGTGAGGCTTGGCTGAGGAGCAGCAACTCGCCTGGCAGACGGAAAGGAAGGATCATTTCCGGTAGAAAGAACAGTGTGTTCTAAGGTGGGGAGGCCACAACGGCGTGTCATACTCAGGGAGCTCATGGAGTGTGCAAATTGCAGAATGGAGCATAAAAAGGAAGAGCGCGAGCAGGTGAAATGAAAGTCAGACAGAGTCAGATGATGAAGGCTCGATGTTTCCTCCATAATCTTTGAGTAGTTGGGCATGGAGCAAAGTGGCCTTTTAGAAATGTCACTCCAGTGATGAAATGTGAAGCTCGGACGAGGTGGAGAGAGCTGGAGGGCCAAACTTTGGTCAAAATGAAAATGAGGGCTTTTATGATATAAGAAATATAACAATGAGTTAAACTTACGCTGAATTGGAAATGTAAGGACATTTATGGGTAACTCATAGAAAAAGGTAATGGTGTGCTATTTATCTAAACAGTTAGTGTTATCAGTGCTGGGATCCAATCAGAATTAAGTTTATGACACAATTTTATACTACTAAAAAGAAGTACGATGTATACTGAACGTTGAGTATAACTAGCTCACAGGAGTGGATCTGTGTGTGTTCAGCATTTCTTAGTCTAAAGCTGTGCTTCCAACAACACGGCAACTCATCACATGCGGCTGGGACTGCAGCCAGGCCTGATGAGATGGGCTTAGTGTGGAGAAAAGAATTCATAATATTTTTATATGCGTTAAATATTCGGTTAAATAAGATATATTATTAAAATAAATTTCACCTGGTTTTTCTTTTCTTTTTTACTTTTAAAAATAAGGCTACTGGAAAACAAAATTACATGGGCAGCTAACGCTCTGTTTCTCCTGAATCACACAGCAGAGAGAACCATGTGTCTCTTGGCAGGTAAGTTCTTTCTTTAAACCCTTAGTTGTGACATACGTCAAGGGGCTTTGACTTTTGGTACTTTGAGCTGTAAAAAGACAGGGCCTCCCGGGGAGCACTAGGAATCAGGAGAAGGGGTCAGAGATGCCCAGCCCACCGCTGAGAGGCCCCTGCGTCCTCACTCACGCTGTCTCCATCACGTTGGATCAGGCAGGAGCACATGGAGGGACCCAGCTTAGGAGAAAGATGACTTTCCACCTTACAAATGATTCTTTCCAATTCTTTAAAGTATGCCCTTCATGATCTTTAACCAGGCAACATTTGGTTAATTTGATTACTCTGTTACACAAATTCCCAGATCAGACTTCTGGGCGCATGAGTTGTCATCAAAGCAGGAGACTGAACAGATTGTAATGGGAATACGTTAGGGCGAGTAAACGTATTTTTTTCTTCCCTCTGTAATCCCTAGCTGCCTCATGGCTTCCATATGTGAATTTAGGCATTTCTTTTCCTTCAGTTCTTTTAAAGTTACAGCAATGGATTGTGAACGTGAGGAAGGTAGACGGATGCTGGGATTTGAATGAAAAATTAATTATTTAGTATGTGGACGAAGTGAGCAAAACTGCTCACAGCTGTCTGGGGACATTTCAGGCAGTCAAAAGGCCTTACGTATCTCAACACCATTGAGGGCCATTAAAAATCTGACAAACTGTCAACGAAGGGCGACTGTCAAAATCTTTTCTGTAACGTAGTGCTACGTTGTAGGCGCAATGTGGAATCTTTGCACAGGTTATATGATGCTTACAGAACATATTTTAGCAAAAATTACCACAAAGAGGGTAAACTTCTGTTTTCTAGAAAATTTACTAGGCAAATTTTTCTCATTCCCAATAAGGGCTGAGAAATAAGGCATTATTGTTTTAAATGTAACTGTACTGTTTTTCTTTTAAAGATATTCTGTAGTTGATCCTTTTAATCTGAATTACTGAAGTTTTGTGCACAGAGTGACCAAGATGAGCTGCTGGGATGTGTGAAGACACACACAGAGCTGAGGGCAGAGCATCTTCCCTCACCTCTGCAGTCCGCCTGAAGCCGCCAGCTGGCATGAGACGTGAGCCACGTCATCGTGCCTGAGGGCAGGCCGCTGGGCAGCCAGTGAGGCTTGCCTCTGGATTTCCTCACTTCCCGTGTAAACTCGGGCAAGTTCACTTCTCTGTTTTAGTTTCTTCATCTGTAAGATGAAGGTAGTGAGAGTACCTAACTTTTTGTGAAGAGAAAGCAGGAAACACCCCTGAGCTAACCACACAGCTCAAGCACGCAGGCCTCTTGCACCAGCCCTGCAACTCGACCACCTTTTCCAGTCTCCAAGGCAACTAATTTATACCTCCTCTAACATCTAATATTCATCTTCTCTCTCTCAGTTAAAAATCTTTCTTCTTATTTCACTGAGAAAAATAAAATCTAAGGAGAGAGAACTACCCCATCCTTCTACCAGCCAATCCTCCCACGCTCCAATCGTCCATTTTGATCCATTGCTCCACCTTCCCTCTGGTCCAATGCTGACTTCGCCTGGGTATCGGGTCCACCGCTCATTTACACAAGGGCATCACTTCCGCAATTCTTTCCTATTTCCCAAGAGACACCAAATTCTTCTTCTCTACTGAGTCATTCCCTTCAACATCAAATACTCTAGAATATCTCCGTCTGGAAAACTGCTTTCCTCAGCTCCACATTCCTCTCTAGCTACTCCTTGTTTCTCTGCTTGTCATTATAGTAAGACTCTTCTAAAGAGTGTCTGTATTGACTCAAATGTTTACCACCCATTCACTCTTGATTTCATTCCAGTCAGGTTGTCTTCTCTCCTTCCTTTGAAACTTCTCATGTTAAGGTCACCAGTGACCACCATCTTTCTAAATTCAATGCCAGTTCGATGTTTTCGTCTTACTCAGTGTCTCAGAAGCAGTTGACGTAATTGATTGTTTTTCTCTTGAAGCGCTTTCTTCTCGTGGTTTCTGTGATGCTGCATTCTTCTAGCATTCGCCCTGCCTTAAACTGCTTCTCCTCTCTCTCCTTTTCTTCCAGTTGTCTCCGTCTACCATCATTCCCGACTTCATCATATGTACCACCTACAGGAGGTTGACTCCTGAATAATAGTCTCCATCCTTGACTTCTTTCCAGAGCTCCAGATTCACTAGATATTTGACATACATTTGTATGTCCAATAGGAATTTCAGACTGAACGTACAGGACAGAATTCTCTATTCTCACATCTTTACAACCCTGTCTCCCAAGCCAATCCCTTCCCCAGTCTTGCCTGTCTTTGTTCAGAACAAAAACTAGTCATCATCCTTAAATTGTTTCTCTCTCTGCCACCTTAACTGGTCACCTGGCAAATCGTGTTAACTTTATTTTCAGAATACATCCTGAATCCTACTACTTCTCATCCTCCATCAATGCCGCCAAAGTTCAGTGCGCCCTCTCTAGCTTGGCTACTGCAGTTTCTTCATCACTGGTCTCCTTTTTTGCCACTTTTGTCTTCTTACAATCTCTTTTCCCTATTGTAGCCACTGCTGTCTTTTCAATATTAATTGCATATTGAAAGTCCTCCAGTGTTTTCCTTTGAAGTTGCATATAAACAAAACTCCTTAATACAGCCTAAAGCCCCTACTTTCCAAATCTATTTTATATTCACTTCTTGCTCATTCTGCTCCGACCATGCTGACTTCTTTGCGTTTCTAAACAAACCAAATATGCTCCTAGCTCAGGGCTTCTCCTCCTTTTGTTTCCACTTTGGGGGGAAACATATTCTCCCCAAAGATGCGTGGGCTGCGCCCTCACTTCCTTCAAGACTGTGCTCCACTGTCGGCTCTTCACAGGGGTCTTCCCTGACCGTCCTGTTAAACTGCTCATCTCCCTCCCCCATCACTCTCTAGTTCCTTCCCCTGCTTGGCTCACCACAGCCGTTACATGACTGACTATTTATTTGTTTGCTTTGTATTGTCTTTCTCCCCAGTCACATTGTAGATCCTGACAACAGCACGTGCAACAGCGCCTGGCTCAAGTGGGTGCAGAGTACACATTTATCAAATGATTGAATGGATGCATATAAAGAGCTTAACATGATGTTGAAAAAATAGTGACATGTATATATATAAGTTCTTTTTCTGCTGTTATTGTTTAATATCTTAACTGTTCTGTTCTTATGTGACTAGGGGAAAAATTGGAGCTGTTGGATGAAGTTGGGAAATAGAATTTGTACACCATCACCAATACTGATCATGGCTTGTTTGGATTTGGTTTTTTGCATTTTTCTAGTCATTTGCCTCTAAAGAATAAGAATGTTTCTGGATTCTTGAAAAGATATTAGAATCTTAATTCTTCCAGTGTGGGCAAAAATTCAGCTAATAAACTACATACTGATACTGAAAATCAAAGCATACAGACCCCCAACTTGACAAATCAGTTGTTTTTTATAACAAGGCTGTATAATTATAACTGTAATTTCATAAGCTTTATCTTATAAACATTATTTTCTGTTTAATATTTGATAATAATGTCTCTTGTAACTTGTAAGCTGAAAACACTAAATATGTTTCTTTTGACAATTGATGGTTTTTGACAGACAATTTTGGCTTTTATATGACAAAATATCTGTCTGATTCCCTCATAATCTTGTTTAAAATTTTATGATCTGGACTTGGAAAAAGTTCCTTAAGTTCATTAAAGAAAAATTCTTGAAAATGTACAGTGTTGGGCCAGCCCTGTGGTGTAGTGCTTACGTTTGCATGCTCCACCTTGGCAGCCCGGGGTTCGCGGGTTCAGATGCTGGGTGTGAACCTAAACACCACTCATCCAGCCATGCTGTGGCGGTGTCCCACATGTGAAGTGGAGGAAGATGGGCATGGATGCTAGCTCGGGGACAATCTTCCACAAGCAAAAAGAGGAAGACTGGTAACAGAAGTTAGCTCAGGGCGAATCTTCCTCACCAAAAGAAAAGAAAAGAAAATGTACAATATTTTCAGGATGGTTTGTCCTGCCTAAAGGCATTTTTTTTTTTTTTTAAATGAGGCACATTGCTCTATTTTATACAAATACAAAAGGCAAGAAGAACAGGATCTGTTTTTACTTGGATTCTGTTTTCTCTCTGTAGGCTGCGGCACATACCCTCCGCAAACGGACACCAGGGAGTGCTGCGCTGGTGGCAATCCAGGTCAGCTCTTCCTCCTCTGTTGTGTATTTTATTGAAGCAGGCAGATGGTGGATGGATTTTCCCCTGGAAACTGCTGATTTTGAAAGACTCCAGTGTGCCAGTCTCACAAGTGTGGTGTTGGGCAGCATATAGTCCCTCGAAATATACATTTAACATTGCCAGGAAAATTAACATACCCTTAGAAAATGGAGAAATTTGCAAAAATACAAGATGAGTGCTGGCTTCTCCAGCTTTCTTTTGTAGATTTGAGTATAAATGTCTTTCCTTTCTCTCTGTTCTTAACTCCTGAGAAAGATAGCAATGGATTTAGCTCAATGTCCTGCTGAAATGCAATTAGATTATGAAACCACGTACACAGTTTTTGTTGTTGTTTCTATTTCTGTTGTTGAAGGAGCTCCTTGTGGAACATGCTTCCACACTGTTCAGCCTTCTCAGTTAGAAATAAAAAAGTGTTAATCTCCAAATGTGATTTTCATTTAAAGAGAATAGAAATTAGGTTTCTTCTGAGACGTTGCTAACAGTCATAGGTGACGGTGGCTTGTACAGAAAATATACACTTACCTATTCTTCATGGACTAAGATGGCACTCAATACACGAGTAAATCAAGCTCTGTGTTCAAATGGATATATAATAGTCAATTCACCCACAGGTAACAACATGAACTGAAGAGCATTGGTGAATTACCAATTCCTGCTTATACTAAATCATTCAAACATTCTATGTAGATAGAGAATTCCTAGCATTCTCACTTCCCTAATCGTCAGAGAAAAGCTAAGAACAAACAGAATTTTACATTAAGATAAGAACACTGATGAAAATATAGAGCCTCATCATTCCCACCAGCAAAAGAAATCATAAATGATCAGAATCTGAAGCAGCACATTCTTTTACGTTGCATGATTCTTAGAAATTAGTGCCATCTTCTGGCTTCTCAAAGTACTGCTTTAAATCTAAACCTGGTACTAATAGGATTTTTATAGTACTATGAAGTAAGAAAAAAAAATCTCGAAATGTAGGGGTTCACATTGTAATATCCACATTACAGTTTATGGCATAAACTTTGAGAAGGTAAAATTTTCGTGTATCTTCTCTATAATTCACATTATATAAACTGTGTAGATTTATATTGGATTAAATACCCTTTGCAGTTTACTGTGATAAAGGAAACTTCACAGATATTACACACATGGAATATTCCAGAACTGATGTGTTTTGAACACTGTTTTCATTGCTAACTCATGACTTTCTTTATGCAGGGGATTTTTAGTTATAATTAAGAAACGTTGAGGTTGAAGTGGATCATCATTCAAGTTCAGTGGAAATTCTTTTTAGCTTTTTAATCAATAATTTTTTAAGTTATGGATCTATAAATGTACTTTTCTATATTCCAAAGGAATAAAAACGATAGCAATTCTAATACCTACAATATTCCAGTTGCTGGATGCCCTGTCTAAATTATTTCATTTCTCACAGCCCCTCAGTGAGATGTTCTGATTCCTATATTATTCCATCTTATAGGTGAAGAAAGAGGGGCTCGGAGAGGTGAAGTCAGAGAGCTAAGAAATGGCAGAGTCGGGATTTGATCCCAGGTTCATTTGACTCCAAAGTCTGTGCTCTTTCTAATGATGCTGGGTATTCATGGCATGGGCTGATTAAAAGCTACTGACAGATGTTTATATTGTTAAAGTTTGTACCCTTCACAAATTGATTTTATACAACTTTATTCTCTCCCCCTCCCCCCCCCCCCAAGTCCTGGGCCATGGACTCTTGAAAATTGATAGGACTTTTCTACTCCCTCTTCCATATTCCCTCAACAGAAACGTAAATCCATATTAACTACCTTGCTGGGCCAAGCACTTAAATGGTACCCAATATATACCAGTGAACTTATTAACAGATAGGTTGTCATAGGAGCTCAATTGTTTTCCAATATGCAGAGAACATGAAAGAAAAATAGTGGTTAAAAAGATGAATATATCTTCAAAGGTTTCTAAGGCTTGAAGGTTTGCGTGTGCACGCACACACACACACACACACACACACACGTACGTATACATATATATTCCAGAGAATTAACTACAAGTTTCATTTTTGGTTTTGTTATTGTGTAACTGTGTAGAAACAGCTTAGGAAAAGCAAAAACCTAACAAGGACCAAAAATAATAAGGCTGATTTATCAAAGAGTAACATGTACTCTAACTGTGAGAGAGAGAAAAGAAAAAAATTTTTACTGGAGATTCTAGAGGGAACGCTCTATTTTAAAGACATCTGCGGTTTTGCTGTTGAAGTGCTGGAAAAAAGAAGTTTCCGGCAAAATACTAACTCATTTCTGGGGACCACAACCCGGGATATTTCAAATGCCTTTCATAAAGGGAAGATTTCATATCCATAAATATGGCATGCAGATCATTCTAAGTCATATTACTAATAAAACAAAGAAAAATTATTAGCCATAATTTATGAGGTTGAAAATTCATGCGTGCACACGTGTGTGTTTGCATTCATGTGCACACCTGCATCACAAGCCCTTTAGCAGTGTACCGCAGCCAAAGGAACCCTCTTCAGAAGACTCTCTGAATTCATGAAGTAAAATACATAGGATTATAAAAGAAACCAGCTTTTCTGAAATATAGTTAAAATATAACAAGTTTGTAATAAAGTAAAATTATGCTTCTTTCATAATGCATTTCAATAAAATCTAGTAGCAAGTACCATAACCACAGTAATTTCAAATTGTGAGGAGCACAAATATTTTCGTACAGGGTATAGCAATTGGAATGTGATGAAAAAGCACCTGATTTCTCTCAGCGACAAAGTAACAAGTACCGACAATACCTCTGTGGTTTGTGGCCGACATTCATAATTAAGAATTTGTTACATTTCTGTTGGAGGTTGTGAAAAGATGTCCTTGTTTCTCATCCACATTCTCCCTGCGCTGACCTGCAGGATTGCCTGAGCTCTGCCAGCACCCTTCTCCTCACCTGTGGCCGTTCTCCCACCTGCAGAGTCTCCCCCTTCCCACTGGGCCTACCTTGTCCTACTCTGTCTGCCAGGTCCTCCGTGTGATACAACTTCAAAGATGCCAGTTTTGAGGTCCGGCTTAGAGGCAGGTCAGTTCTTTTCTTGAGCAGCTAAGTCCACACCCCAAGCACTTCCCTTGTCGGGCTCCAGACCATCATACATCGCCCTGACCGCCTGGGGCCAGGTGCCAGACATTAGGGACAGCCCCTGGGACCCGGGCCTGAAGACACTATTCAAATTAGCCAAGCCCCAGGGAGCCCCCAAACCTAACTCACCCCACCCCCTCGCCGCATGTGCGCGCCCCCTGCCCCTCAGGCTGCCTGCTCCCCAGACCCAGTCCAACTCCCAGGGACCCTGCTGGTGACCTTCTTTCGTTCGGAGCTGTGAGTAACCAAAAGCTGTGCCTTGCATCTGTTGGAGTGTGTTGTCCTTCCATCCGAAAAAATCTTTAACTCTTATAGAAATCCCTGATTTCCCCCTGGCGTTTCCTCTCTCTCTTTTTCTTCTTGACGTTTTTGTTTGTTTTGGTTAATTTTCCCATAACACCCACTATCTCTTAGCAATTCACTATGGTGTCTCCTCCTACCCTGGACTGAGAGGGCCACCAAGGCAGGATTTCGTCGTTTTTATTTTCTGCAGTGTCCCAAGCACTTGGCACAGCACCTGGCACATCGCAAGCTCTCCACATGAGACTACTGAATCAATTCTCGCACCTGCCCCCTGGCCCGCTGTGACCAGCCAGGCTGGCCAGCACCTTCGGTTGACTGGCGACAACCCTGGTGGGACCACTGCTGGGTCTCTTGGTAAGAGCTTTCTCCTTGGGGTGACTAAAGCTTCTAAACTAGCATGGCTGAGAGTCTTGGACAGGGGAAGAGTTGTGAGTGGGTCTTCGGGGTAACCACGTCAGGGACTCTCCTTCTGCTATGCCCTGGTTTCGGAAGCGGTGTGATACGGCTGTGGAAGATGCAGCCCTGTAATTGGTTATGGTTTCAAAGCACACGTGGCATCTTGCCAGACAACATCACCACCCTGAAAGGTGGCCCAGGTGGTGGTGTCACAGACTATTTTGCCATTCTAAAAGACCAACAGCTTCTGGATGATGGGTTTCATGACAAGAGAAGCATCTGCCATTGCCTGATTTCTTTCCCTGGAAAGTAAGTTGTTGATCAGAAGTGGGCATGCAGGATACCATGATGGTTTGTACTGCATTGACTAAGTTCATCTACAGGAGTGCTGGAAGAAGCATGATCTGTAGAGCCAGTAATCAGGATGGTAGGACGGATTTTTGCTACTAATGCAGTGTAATCACCTGCCACTGGTGGCTAGGTAGTCCTCCTTAAGCCCTGAGACCATATCAGGGGTCAGGGTTGTTCATAGCCATTGGGATGTGAGGATTCAGAAGTGCCACTTCTGAAGTTATTCCTATCAGGGAAGCCAATGTTGAGGCTCGCACGGCCTCCCTTCTCCCATAGCCATTTCCACATGCTGACAGATTGCAGCCTAAAATCTTCTAACAATTCTTGTTTCTTCCATCAAAAAATATTTGTAATATTTTTCCCACATTCCTTCCGGGTAATAGGTGTCATTGTTCTTTCTAGGTTTTGACAGTCTGAGGAGAGTGCTTTATCTAGATAGTATTTTAATCGCATTTCCCTCATTACTCTTGAGTTTGAGCTCCTTTTACTTGTTGGCCATCTGCATAGTCTTGTGTGAAATATCTGTTAATAGCCTTTACTCATTTTTCTTTTGAGTTTTCTTAATTTTGACAACTCTTAAGAGTGCTCCCAATACTATATTACTCTTTTGTCTGTCACATTGCAGAGTTTTTCCAAATCTATTGTTTTTCTACTGACTTTAGATGTGATATCCTTTGCAACTCAAAAGTTTATTTTTTTTGTATTATCCAAAAATTTTCTTTTGCACCTCCAGAATTTTCTGTCTTGGTTAAGCACCCTTCCCTCAACCTTAGATTGTACATATAGTTTCCAAGATTTGGTTCTAAGACACTTACTGATTTATATTTTATATTTAAGCCTTTAATAATTCTGGCTTTTATTTTAATACATAATGTAAGAGAGGCGAGGCCCCACTTAATCTTTTCTGAGTTGGAGAGCAGTTCCATTTATTACATAAAACATTCTCTCACAATTGAATAAAACAGCAATTTTGTCATCTATGCCTTCTCATATAAGCTGGGATCTTTTCCTGGGTTTTCTCTTTGTCCTGCTGATCTAATGTGGCTCTTACCATGCCAGTTCCACATTTGTTTTTTTTTTTTTTAAAGATTTTATTTTTTCCTTTTTCTCCCCAAAGCCACCCGGTACATAGTTGCATATTCTTCGTTGTGGGTCCTTCTAGTTGTGGCACGTGGGACGCTGCCTCAGTGTGGTCTGATGAGCAGTGCCATGTCCACGCCCAGGATTCAAACCAACGAAACACTGGGCCGCCTGCTTCGGAGCGCGCGAACCCAACCACTCGGCCACAGGGCCAGCCCTGCCAGTTCCACATTTGTAATGATGAAGGTGGTTTAGTGTGTGTTCTTATATGTGGCAAAGCAAGTTCCCCTCACATTTCTTCTTTTTTCATATTTTTATTGGATATTAATGGATTGCTATTATGTATATTATTCTATGTCAGGTTCAGAAGCTTGGAAATTTTATTGGAATTATATATTTTATATGCTACATTTGATAAAATTGGAATTTTCTTCTCATCCAAGAATGTTTTTTTCCTCGCCATTTATGTATCATTTTATCTTCATTAAGGTTTTATAATTTTCTACATAGAAGTCATGCACCTTTCTCATCAAATTTATTCCCAGTAGTTTGTGACTTTTTTTGGTCACAATTGTGAGTGGAAAAAATTTCTTATTTTTACATTTAGGTAGACTTTATTAGTGTAATAAGATATTAAAATGGAATTTCCAGTTGAAATACAAGGAAAATAGGAATGAGACATCAAATTGAGGTGACCAGGATTTACAAAGTGAGTGGCTAAAAGCCAGCTGGTGACTCTTGAATTTTCCACCTCACTGAGGGTATAAAAGGCTCATAGAGCCCTTTTCCCCTCACGCTTCACTTCAAGTCAAGAGAGAGGGGTTTTAGGAACACAACTTGGAGAGCTTAATGTGTGTGCCTCAAGTCTGAGATGCCTAGAAATTCTAAAGAAGTGAGAGATTGGTTGACACCCTCTCAGGGAGGAGCTAATGATAGTCTGATTCTTGCCTGGGCTTGGCCAGCACCACTGGAGTTCGCCAGGGAAAGGACGTGTGCACCCCATCCCGGGGTCTGATGTGAGTCATGTGTGGGGTGGAGAGACAGTGAGGTGTTTTTCTTCAATTATGACCAAAGGATCCACCGCAAGAGGCGAAGAGCCCTCAGCAGGGAAATCTGGAGGTGTCACTGGATTGCTAGAGGCACAACCAGCTGGAACAGAGGTGCCTTTTCCCAGGGCAGAGAAAATTGCAGGGGAGAGATTGCCAGCTACGGGTTTCCAAAGGACCCATGGAAGTGCCACACAAGACAATTTGGACCTGCTGGATGCAGAGAGCAGTGAAGCTAAATCAACTCAACCCTGTCAGTCAAGAAAGAAGTTCCCTGTCTCCCTTCCTCTCCCTGAGCTCCATGCTGATCAGTCAGGAGCTACAGTTAGCAAAAGAGGGGAGGAAGGGTTTGTTTTCCTTTACTCTGACCTTAGACTTTCTATCTGACTTGACCCCAAAAGGGGAAGGAAAAAGCATGAAGTTTAAAGCACATGGAAGATTTGCCAATCATATGAAAATGGACAACCTAACTACCAAATGGAACTGATGTTTGTGACCCTGGAATGGCCGTGTCTAAATTTCCCTTTAGGGAAAAAGGAAGAACTAACATCAGTGAGCAAATTTAAAGGGAGAATGGAAGACCAAGTAAAGTCACTAAATGTTTCCATATGACTATGCTAGGATGAAGAAGGCTACTGATATTTACTTTTTGTCTTGTAACTAGTGACAGCACCAAATTTTCTTATTTAAGTGATATCAACAAGAAATGGATTTGGATTTTCTTCGATTATTTAATTCTTTTTCTCATTGCTTTCGTTTGAACTGTCCCAAGACAATGGTGAATAGTAATGGTAACAGCAGGCATCCGTGTCAAATTCTGATTTTAACTGAAAAGGTTTTAATGTTTCCCCACTAGGAATAATGTATGCTGTTGGTTTTAAGTTAGACTTTATTAAATTCTAGTATTTTTATTCCATTTTTAGTTTCTATTTCTATTTTCTGATTTCCTTAATAAAATAATAAAACAATAAAGCACATCTGCTGAATTTGATTAGATGCGTTATCTATATCTATCAAATGACATTTCAGTGTCTATTGATGTTATCATAAAATAGCTCCCTTTAGTTTATCTATTAGATTTGGAATTATGTTGATGAATTTCCTGGTATTGAATCATCCTTGTAGTCTTAGAGTATTTCCAACTTAGTCGTAATGTGTAATATTTTGGTACATTTTTGGATTGCATTTGGTAATATTTACCTTTTTTTTTTTTTGCCTCTAAAGTCATTTAGAGAGATTGGTCTATAGTTTTCTTGTACTAATGTCATGCTGGTCTAATAAAATAAATTGAGAAGCATCCTCCTTTTTCTATGGTTTGGAATAATGTAAGTAAGACTGAAATAATCTGTTTTTAATAGATAAGATAATCTGTAAGCATATATCATTGTGGTGACTTTTTAAGTAGTAGATATTTAATTACCTTCCAGATGCTAATATATTAATTAAAAAATTATTTTTCACTCATTGGGTCAATTTGGATAATTATATCTTGCTAGAAAAACATGCATATTTTCCAAGTTTTAAATATTGTTTACTAGAGACATGCATATTCTATTCTCGATTTTTAAAAACATTTCTTCTTTATCTATGATCATGTTACATTGTCATTCCTAACCATATTTTTAATCTTTTTACTTTAATCAGACTCTGGAGGAATTTAATTTTTTTTGACTTTGCAAAAGAACCAAGGTCTTGTGTACTTTGTTTTATTTATATTTTATTCATTTCAATTTCATCAATTCTATTTTTAAAATTTATTTATTTTTGAGGAAGATTAGCCCTGAGCTAACATCTGCCGCCAATGCTCCTCTTTTTGCTGTGGAAGACTGGCCCTGAGCTAACATCCATGCCCATCTTCCTCTACTTTATATGTGGGATGCCTGCCACAGCATGGCTTGCAGAGCAGTGCCTTGTCCGCACCTGGGATCGGAACCAGTGAACCCCGGGCTGCCAAAACAGAACGTGTGCACTTAACCGCTGTGCCACTGGGCCAGCCCCCAAATTTATTTTTGTTTATTTCTGTATTTTATATCTTAAGATGAGCGCTTACTTCCTACATAGACTTTTTTACTTGTATATTGTGAAATGATCACCACAATGTCTAGTTAATATTTGTCACCTTACATAGTTAGAAAAATTTTTTTTCTTGTGATAAGAACTTTTAAGATCTACTCTCTTAGCAGCTGCCAAAAATGTGGGAAAACAAAGTCAAAAAAAGATAAATGGATTCCATTTTATTGATATACTGCATTTTGGTTATCCATTCTTCTGTTGAGTACATTTGGGTTGCTGCCATGTTTTTTGCTGTTATGAATAATGCCCTGATGAACTTTCCTACACAGGTTTTGGTAGGGATGTATGTTTTATTTCTCTTGGTTGTATACTAGGAGTGGAATTGCTGGGTCACATGCTAACTCTGTGTTTGACATTTAGAGGAATCGCTAAGTTTTCCAAATTGACTGCACCATCTAGAGTCCTACCGACAATGTGTGAAGGACTGATACATGCTACAACGTGGACGAACTTCAAAAGTGTTAAACTAATTCAAAAAAGCCAGTCACAAAAGGCGGTGTGTGATATGATCCCATTTATATTAAATGTCCAGAGTAGGCAAATCCTTAGAAACAGAAAGTGGATTAGTGGTTACCAGGGGCTGGGGAAGGGAGTGATGGAGAGAGAAAGCTAATGGCTACACGGTTCTTCTCAGGATGACGAAAACTGTTCTCAAATTAGAGAGTGGTGATGATGGCACTGAATTGTACATTTTAAAAGAGTACATTTTATGGTAAGTAAATTGTATTTCATTAAAGCTGTTGTTAAAGAAAAAAGACAAATGGAGAACAGGGAAAATCCTTTTTGTCACAAGGCACATGACAGCCCAAACGCATTTTTCCTAATTACAAAGAGCTCCTTCAGAAACATAAGGCAAGGACAGTCAATCTCAGCAGCCTTATGCTGGCGAATGTTTAGCAACTCTGGCGGCGGGGGGAGGGGCGGGAGGCTTGGCGAGAAAAGCCCTTAATTGTAGTTTTAGTTGATTTTCATGCTGTAAATTTCCTACCGTGGTTGATTTCAAGCTATTATTAATAACATCGACTCCAGCACACATCGCATTCAAGTGAAAATGGGCACAAAATGTGAATGGGAGAGTCACAGAGAAATACGAATGACCCATAAACACACTGCTTGACCACACTTAGAAATAAAGGAACGACCATGAGATCATTTTTTGTGATTTTTTTAATCCCATGTGATTAAAAGGTTAGGGGAAAAGTTGTCTCCTACTTTGGTGGGAACATACATTATTTGAAGGGCAACTTGGCAAAATCTCTCAAAATTAAACATGAACATGTCATTTGACCCAGTAGTTCCTCTGACAGAAAATTTCCTTCTGCTGATGACTTTCTGGGGAAATAGAAATCCTGAATGCTCTTGGGGAACATAAGCTGTAAACGTTTTGTCTTTTACGAAAAAGAATGCCAAGCCTCTAACGAAATGAAAAAAAGAAAAAGAAAAAGCAACTCATATAGAGTTATTGGCAATAACACGGACCGTGAATAGCACCATGGAATTTTTATGAAATGTCAGCTATTAGTTTAATTGGAGCAAAAAGAAGGAAAAAAGTGAGCAATAATGAAATAAACATGGTCTCTCAGAAATTAGTGCTTAAAAATGTCAATAGTCCTTGTTCAAAAAGTAGAAAAAAACAATAAATCTATTTACCTATGTAAAAAAGTCATATCTATGGTTACGGTATGGGAAAGCAACTAAGGAGCAATTACGACAGAGTGAAGATTTTCAAAATAGGAACAGAGGGGCTGGATTCATTAGGATTTCTGTTGCCTGGGGAATGGTGGCAGACCCCTTTGTCAGCCAAGTGCATGAATTTAATACATTCTTTCAGCAAATATTTATCGGTCTACTAACACAGTATGTGAAAATCCCAGCACACAATGACTCTGAGGGACATAAAAATGAATGGGACCTAGTCCTTTGCTATAACTTGGCCTTCTGTCATTCTCTGATTTTGTTTTTAAGTGAAAAGAATTTTTTCCTCCTTTTTCCCTATCCCCACCTTTCAAACAATAAATTTGAGGCTAAGGACTCTGTTTGGTATTCCCCACAGCATCTGGCACTATGACCTTCCATGAATTCCCAGGTGGCAGTCAATCTGTATTTGTTGACAATATTATCTTATACTGACAATAATTTGAACTCAAAAAATAAAGTCTAGAAATATTTTGTAAAACAGAATACCAATTTGAACATGCTCTGAAGCTATTACAGCCTTCACAGAGACCAGTGTGCCTTTGTTTTTCTGCTTGTCTACACGTGCTGTGTCCTTGAGCAGCCTGGCGAAAGTTAAAACCAGTTTGCAAATGGATGGGGATTTTCTCTTCTGAGTGGAGAATTTTGTTACTGATTTTTTTTTCCTTGCTACATCAACAAAGCTCAGTCATTCACCTAAAATGAAGCTGATTACCTCTGTTTGTGTCTCTTTCAGTTCGCATTCTGAGAGGTGGGGGTGGCAAACATGTGTCCAGCCTGTGTTCTGGACAAGGAGCAAGAAAGCGAGAAATATGTAAAGAATGTAAGTAATTGCAGAGTAACCAAATGGCACCCTAAGCTGATGAGGCAAAGGGTTGAAGTTAAGGTTGATAATTTAGATAACAAATTTTTCTTATATTTAACTTTCTATTGAAGTATGACAAGTTTACTAATCAAAAGTGTGCAGTTTACCAAGTGAATTTGTCATTTCTGTGTAACCATCCTCCATGTTAAGAGTTGCTGGATTGTTTGTTATTATTTTGTTTGGGATTTTGCATCAATAGTCACGACTGGCCTGTCATTTGTTTTTCTTGTTGAATTGAATATCTAGACCGTTCTTGTCTCATGGAAGAGGTTGGAAGTTTTCCCTCTTGTTTTATTCACTTTAGTTTATATGAGACTGGTGCTATTTCTTCCTTAAATAACCAGAAGAATTCATCAGGGAAGGCACATGAATTTTGAGTTTTCTTAGTGGGAAGATTTTTAATTAGGAATTTAATTACAGGACTATTTGTGTTTGTTATTTCTTCTTATGTCAGTTTTAATTAATTGTGTTTTACTAAGATTTTATGAAGTTTATATAATTTTTCAATTATATTGACATGAAGTGGTTCATCATATCCCCTTAATATCTGTATAATTTGAAGTGATGTCTATGTCTTACTGATTTTTAAAAAATTTCTGTCTGATAATTCAAATATCTGTGTATATCTCTGTGTGGTTCTGATGCTTGCTTCAGACTTTGTTTCTTTTCTTTTTATCTTTTAGCATGCCCTGTAATTCTTTGTTGAAAGCTGGGAGTGATGTGTCCTGTCAGAGGAACTAAAGTAAAAGGCCTTTAGTGTGAAGTATTATGTTATTCTGGCTAGCAGTTGGGTTTTATTTAATGTTTGCTGAAGCCCTGGATGCCACAGGCTTCCAATTCCTTTAGTGTCTGTGGTTTTGTCTTCTCTGTTGAATTTGAGTTTCCCTGAGTACTTGTCCCCAGAGAAAGTGCACCTGCAGCTCTTTCACCTATCCCCCACTGTTATTAAACGGGAGCCCTGTCTATGTGGTGGGAAGGTGTGGGGTGGAAGTATTCTGTAATCTCAGGATTAAATCTCAGTCTTTTAGTTGGAGGCTGTGTTCCTTGGCTATGACTCTGATACATGTTTCTTAGCTTTTCTCCTCCTTAGGGGAGGCAGGAAGGCTAGAGGGGCAACATGCATCCCCCAGGTGGGATGAAGCTCTGGTGAAGCCTCTTCCCCTGGGAGGTAGACCGCTCTTGGTTTGGTGACACCTTGCTCTCCAGGTTCTTCTGTTCCCTCTCTGACCGCATCTTCTCAGTCTCCACTTCTTTGCTCCTCTTTCTTCTCTACCTAAATTCTAAATGTTGTAGCCCAGAATGTAGCTCTGTCTGCATTCTCTTCATCAATGATTTCACATATTTTCATGAGTTTAAAAACTATATGCTGACAACTCCTAACTTCATATCCCTTGGCCAAGCCTCTCATTTTAAGGCACAATGAAATATACAACTCCCTCTTTGACATCTCCACTTACACATCCCACAGGCATCGGAAGCAAAACTAAACTCCTGTTTCCATGCCAAGCTTATTCTTCTGTTTTCAGTAAAGCATTCTATTATTTAAGTTGCTCCATCTAAAAATCTGGGAGCCATTTTTGATTCCTCTTTCTCTGCACCCCAACACAATCTACCAGTAAATCTTATAGAATCTCCTTCAAAATAAAACTTGAATCTGGCCAGTTCTTTCCCACTCTGCCCAGACACCATCACTTATAGGATTACTGCACCAGCTTCTCATATCCCCTTCTTTTA